CTAAACTATGCAATAATGAGTAACCATGTTTCTTTCCTTTCTCCCTCAAATTTCTATATGCCTCTTAAAGATTTTCTGTTTCAAAACACAGATGCTCATTTATAGCATTTGACAAAGAACTCTTAAAATGTATTACAAGATACTCAAATTAGGTCTTAAAGATACTATGGCAATCCTTACTTCACCTTAGGGTGTGTTTGACAATTTCTGTTGATACTCGGTTATGCTCCTCCCAATCAACAATTTTAATGAATAATTAAAACACATAGGTTAAAACAACCATGGGCCCATTTCAAAGCAAGACAAAAAAACGGTTTCCTCTAAATAATGGATGCCAATAGTTATAATGCCTAGTATTGTGGTTCAATGGGATAGATCTCAGCTTACAATTCCAGCACTCCAAGTGTGTAGTAGTTTGAGTCCAGCTGCTCTGCTTTCAATTCAGCTCCTCACTAATGCTCTTGGAAAGCAGTAGAAGAGGTCTGTATGCTGGGGCCCTTCCACCCATATGGGAAAACCAGATGGAGCTTTTGGTTCCTGGCTTTGGGTGACCCAGATCCAGCCACTGGAGTGAGCCAGCTGATGTTAAATCTCTCCCTCTTCCCCTCAATGTGTCTCATTCTCTCTTTCTGGTCTCCCTCTCCATATGTGTCACTTTGCCTTTTAATGAAATAAAAAATTAGAGAAAAAAGAAAAAGAAAATCTCACAGTTCGGCTCCTTCACACCCAGGGCCATTAAAGCTGAATTCTGATTCTCTACCTGGCTCTAGAGGGAGGTAGCCAATGACAGCACTTCCAACATGGCTTCTCTCTATGAAAGGGCTTTGAAACTTGACTGTACATTACAGCAAACTGAACTCTGAAAAATCTTGCTGCTCACCCACTCCAATGAAATCAGAATTTCTGGGGAGCATACACAGGTACCAGAATTTTATCGAGTGTCCTAGACATAACCAAAGTTAAGATTCACAACTCCAGCAAAAAAAAAAAAAATACTTACACTAACTTCAAATTCACAACACTTGTTTTGCTTTAAAATGGTTGACAGGCATCAAAGTGTCTTTACCACAATTCTAATCAATTACCAACGATCCACTGGATCTCTTCTTACCAGAACAGGAATAAAAAAGAGGCTAAATCAATTGAACCCTGGTGTGGGAAGACACTTAGGGAAAAATTTAAATAAATTTTAATTACTAATACAGTCCCAATGCCAATTTCATAGTTTTGATCAGTGGTGATCCATTTTATGAGGTAATGACATTTAGGGAAGCAGGATGGAGGACACACAGAAAGTCTACTATCTTTACAATTCTCCCCTAAAATAAAGACTTAAAAAGTAAAAAACAGAGAAAAGCAGAACAAGTACTAATGCTTCAATACTGCTAAACATTCTTGGTCATAAACATGTGCACACTGAAGATAGACACTCTATTAATGAATACAAGAGTTGCTGCTGAGAGAGTAAGCTAAGGGGAGAAGAGACTTCCAATATCCCGTCCACACTCTGTTTCATCATTCTTTTCTCAGGTCCTGTCTAAACTACAGAACATGTCATCAACACTAGCTCATACTGAAAGATCCAATGCCACTAATACAACCTAAGAGTCACAAAGTTCACTTTTCACAATTCTTCTATTGGGATGCTGCTGCTGAGAAGAAAATCTTTTGCATATACATGTTATTCCATGGTATATAAGCACTTCCTGAGTGCTATCTTGCTTTATTTGCACTAGAACACAGGCAAATACACGTGGCATGCTATCACATGGGGAGAAGCTTCTATTGCATTTTCTTAGAGAAGAGAGGGTATAGCTTATGTATAAATCACACACATGACACCTACATACACACACCCAACTTGAAAACACAGTAACTGATGTTCTCTGCCATTGGCATCCTGGAACAGCACTCAGAGGATGAGGGCTGGGGGACACAGTCTAACGCTGGTGCTTCCTGATGCAGGATGTCCCAGCATCCACCAGAGGCACTCACTATTTGGTGAGAACAGCTTTTGTTCATTCTGAACTCCCAGAAAAAAGGGGAAGAGTTCATATTAATGAGGCAGCAGCAAGGGGTGTTGGCCCAGGTCTTGTCAGGCCATCCCAACAAGACCACTGGCTCTGTGTCAAGGTCATGCACTGTCCCCTGCGACCTTGGTCTCTTCTTTCAAGTCCTAAGGAGATGCAGATTCTAGATTTCTTTTGGGTCCTGACATTTGCCTTCTTGCCGTGGTGCAAGAGGCACATCTGCCAGCTCCTTCCCAGGAGCCCCTGACTGGCACAGCTTTTCTCTCTTGCTTCTCTGCTGGTTGCCTGTCACTCTTGCATTGCTTGAGAAGCTCACTCACCTCAGACTCCAGGGAAGGTGATGGAAGGCGACTGCATGTTCTCTAGACCATGCTGGAAGCATGGCTTGTGGCTTCTTCCTCACTGTGGCTCATAAAGTTTCTATGTCACTAACTCCTTTGTAGTGGGAACATGCACGTGTGTGCATGCGGACACACACACATACACACTTTCCCGGATAGCACAGAGAACCAGAAGAGTGCTGCAGGTGCAGCAACTGAGGCTTAGTTGCAGGCACAGTTGGATGTGGTGGTATGCCTCCTGTGACATGTGTGACTTTTGTGCCCTTGATTCCTCTGGGAGAAGTGTGACCTTCTAGCCTGCACTCTATTCCTCCTGGCCAGGGCTATAAAAGCCAGAGTATGCAACGTTCAGCAGCCAAACTGCGTCCTCTTTGGCTCGAGATAATGTGTTCATTCTTTGACTCTTGCTGATGCAAAAGGGAAGTCTAATTGGGACTCATCTGGAGTTCGTGGGATCTTTCAGACGAGCATATTTACTTGGGAAATGTGAACAATGGGGGTATATGATTAACTGAAACTTACAGTTTCCTTTTAATTAGTGAAAGAGCAATGGAGAACAATTTAAGAGGCTTACAGGGGACTTTTGAAAGAGTAGGAAACATTTATATTGGTGAAAGTGATTGCTCTAGATGTGCATTTGTCTAAAAGTTTTTGTTTTAATTACAGTGCTGGCTCATTTCCCTTACCCCAGCCCAGCCCAGCCCCCAATCTCTGACCACCGTGATTATTTGGTCCCTCTTGCAGGCATAGCAATCCCTTTGGGCTAGGGGCCACCGGGTCCTGCCTTCCTTCCCCACCTCCTTCTAGTTCTGGGGCTAGGACCAGGCCCAACTTTGTTCCTCTTGGCTTTTTCTTTTTCTTTTTCTTTAAGATTCCAATTGTTACAGAGAGAGAGAGATTTGCTGGCTCTCTCCTCAAGTGGCTGCAATGGCTAGGACTGAGCTAGGCTGAAGCCAGGAGTCAAGAGCTTTCTTCCTGGCCTCCCTGGGTAGCACAGGCCCCAAAATTTGGGCCATCTTCCACTGTTTTCTCAGGTGCACTAGCAGCAACTTGGATGATTAGTGGAGCAGCCAGGACATGAACTAGCATGCATATGGGATTCCAAGGTTGCCGGAAGTAGCTTAATCCATTATGAGACACAGTGCTCACCATGGAACCCCCACCTTGCTTCTCAGCTTCTCTTCAGAAAGATTTGGCTTTGTTCCTGCTGCTTGCTCCTAGACACACCATCACTGTCCGAGATGTCACTAATTTATAGGGTGACCATATGTTCCAGTCAGCCCAAGGCAGCCCTAATTTACATTTCCCTTTTATTCACAGTGTCTTGCTGTGGATAGTAAATCAAGCAGTCACCATGCCCATTTGGGCCTCCCAAGGCTAAATGCATCTATGAACTGACACATCTGGTCCCCTCTCTTCCTGAGCAGCACAGATACTGCCTGCTGTAGCCTCAGGGCTATCTTGTGTCAATGGCATCTTCTGATTCCTGGGGCATGGGTTCCCCTGGACTATCTCGCCCAGCCACACACCTAACCTTGAATGATCACAATTTTAGGGAATCATTTCCAGGTCCAAAATATTCCTGTTTCAGAGGTGGCAAGGAGAGAAGCATGAAGCTTGTGTGTACAGTCTGCCCTTTTCAGCCACATGGTTTTGCATTCAAGGATTCAACCTCAAGTCAACATGATTCAGAACACATTGCATCACTATGGGACCTGTACAGACTTTATGATCATTATTTACTAATCAATGCACCACTATCATTTACATAGCATCTTCATCATATTAGATATTATAAGTAACCAAGAGACAATTTCAAGTATCTGAGAGGATGAGGGCTAATACTGTACAGCTTTCCTCTGAGAGATTCCTGGAGTTTGTTATCCCCCAGAGTCTAGGAGCCAACGCCTGGCAGATACCGAGGTTGACTGTGTATTTGCACACTCAGGGAAAAGAGAGGAATGAGACAGTTGTTTGGAAATTTATTCTTATTTACAAATCTGTATGGGTATTCACTATACTCTTTTGCTAACCGTGCACTAGAGAAAATTGAAATGTTTGTAAAGATATTCCTGAAAGAGGCCAATTGAAAAGTGATTAAAAGCAAATATGCTTTGCATCAGAAGAATGAGCTCAACTTTTGACTTTCATATGCTGTTTCTACTCAGGCAATGAAACTGCCCAGACCTTCTTATTTTGAATTTATCATCAAAAACTTCTTCCTGTTACTGTTATTCTAACACTGATGAAGAGATGTTGAACTTTCCAGAAGTTTTCACTTACGATTAATAGAAAACAAACCCGTACAAATGTACTCATTTAAAAAAAAAAAAGCAAAACAATCATCTTAGTCTAAACACAAACCTGCTTGATTGCAGGAACTAGTTTACCTAATAATTTCATAGTAGTAGCATCATCCTAATTCTATCTTTTGGCTGTTCCAGGCATGATCACAAGGTTTTTGAACTTCAGAAGATGAACTTGGCCTGACCCCAGGCCACGGGACTCAAATGGCCTGCAGCTGATTTCACTGCTGGCAGTGGACAGTGCGCAATTTCAGTGTCTGTATTTTTCCATCCTCTCCCCCACCCACCACCAGGCAGGTTTTGGGGCCCCCAGCAACACTTACGTTTCGTCGGTGAATGCTATTCCAAAGTATTCCTTTTCTTTCAGATTGAAGTGAGAGGCCACGAGGTCAAGAAGCTCCTTGGCCAAAAGCTTGGGCTGCGGGGAGAACATAAAGGAAGAGAAGAAGGTGAGGAGACATGACCTTCCCCGGAACAGCCCTACTCAGGTGTCTACAGGTCGCTTAGCGGAATGCTGTGAAGCTCAAGGGCAACAGCGCAGATGATTTTTATGAGTAGACACTGAGGACATCACGGAGCAAACAGCCAGGGACAGGTCACTGGGAGCCTGAGACCCTCGGGCTGTCTTGCTTCCTGGTAATTTTGTTCTATCAATAAATAGCATTCGCTCTTTGGGCAGGACTGTCAAATCCTGGGCTTCCCTTTCTCTATATTTCATCTTGAATTGACAGGAAGATGTCTTTTGATATACTCAACAAACTCTGCAAAACAGATGATCCCAAACTTAGGATGTTTCAACCTGACAAGGGTGCAAAAGTGTATCACAATATCCATTCTGCCTCTTCATGCTCAGTAGCCAATACATAACATGAATTATTCAACTCTGCCTTCAAAACCAGGCTTTGTGTTAGATGCTTCTGTCCAGCTGCATAGTGAAGGTGAGACTATGCATACACACGGTGTTCAATGCATTTATTAACTGCCTTTGCCAGTGATGGTACTTTTCAACTTTATCAGGATTGAACCCACTGGAAGTCAAGAAGCATCCGTAGAGTGGCAGGCCATGTTACAAGCACCTTGCAAACATCAGTATCTTTAATCCTCATCACAACCCAATGACGTCCTACTATTCAGCTGATCCTACAAGGAGGAAAGAAGTCCCCAGAGATTAAACAGATACTGAAACTAGGATTTGAATCCTAGCCATCTGTCCCCAACCACACCACACGATCCCACAACGTGCTCACACATTTACATATATTGTTTCTTACACCGTCCTACGTCTGCTTCTGGTCCTGATGGTTTGACATTTCTCTGTTAGGAGAGTGGTTAAAGATGTAAACCAGGGGCCCAGTGCCGTGGCCTAGCGGCTACAGTCCTCGCCTTGAACACGCCAGGATCCCATGTGGGCACCAGTTCTAATCCTAGCAGCTCCACTTCCCATCCAGCTCCCTGCTTGTGGCCTGGGAAAGCAGTTGAGGATGGTCTGAAGCCTTGGAACCTGCATCCAGTGGGAGACCTGGAGGAGAATCTGGGCTCCTGGCTTAGGATCGGCTCAGCCGCAGCTGTTGCAGTTACTTGAGGAGTGAATAATCGGACAGAAGATCTTTCTCTCTGTCTCTCCTCCTCTCTGTATATCTAACTTTGCAATAAAAATAACAAATAAATCTTAAAAAAACAAAACATAATCAAGAGTTACATGGCCATTTGGCTTCTGATTTCACATTTTTAGTGCTGCTGGCAAACGAGCTGTGTCTCCCCAGAATTTTTACAATGAAAACCTTATGAATGGCATTTTGGAAATAGGGCTTTTGGGAAATTTTTAGGGCTGAGGGAGTCACAGGGTGGGGTCCCCAGGATGGTATCAATGCCCTTTTAAGAGCCACCCAAGGGCATTTCTTCTTTCTCTGCCAGGTGAGGACACATGGAGGAGGTAACGATTTACCCGTCAGGAAGAGAGCCCTCACCTGCTCCTAATGGGAACCTGCCCTCGGACTACCAGTCTCGGAACATGAGAAATCAATGGGTGTTGTCTCAGCCTCTCAGTCTAGGTATATTGTCATGGCAGTCCAAGTACATCTTTAATTCAATATTATTTATTTGTTTATTAACTTAATCAACATATATATGTATTTACATATAATTTATGTTATTTATATTACTGTATGCAGTTAAGCAGGCAAAAGCTGCAGTAAAACACAGTACCTACCAATCACGCCCTTACCCATGTTTCTGGGACCATGAGGCAATAGCTCGTGTCCTGTTCAAAAGCCAAGGCACCTTGATGCTCCACTCCTGGGCCCCTGGGTGCAACCTCAAGGTCTCAGTGACCATCAGGCAACCAAGGAAAACCATTTGAGCTAACTGGAGTCACCTGAAGCTATGACAGGACCGTCTCCCCGAGGTAACCAACAGTAGGATCCATCTTGCTATCTCCACACCATCTTATCACCTGTAATTCCATTCACATTATATGATCAAATAGTTTTTTTTTTTTAGAAGTCTGTAGTCTACAGCCAACAGGGAACTCAAAATTTTTATGTCAGACCTTTCCTCCTACACAGGAGATGCTCTACTGCAGGGTTAATGTGGTAGGCTGACACCACATGTGGCACATCTTGTGCGACTCACTGACAATTATGAAGCAGCAGCCAAAGTGGGGACTCTTGAAGTCACTGCTCGTTTTATAATGAACTGCTGCCAGCACCACCCCCACTCCCAAAATGGATCTCACTGCCCAGTGACAAAGCCCTTCACCCATCACTTGACTACGAGATTCTGTGGCTGCCCTGAAAATGTTCTAACTAAGGAGAACCAAAAGTCAGTAAGCAATAATAGTTGCATCAAAACATTCTCCTCTCAGATGAACTCTTTTTCAAGGATTGCACCTGTCTGGGTGTGTACCTTTAATTAACAATTCAACAGCATACAACAGTTACTGTTATTGATCACATATGCCACTGTCAAGGAGCCTACATTCAACTTGCACACAATATTGATCTGGTACCAAGAGGGAGGTACGAGATCCCAGGAGAGTTAAAGTTACTAATCCTGGATCCCAATTCTATCCACAGCCTTACACACTGTTCCAAAAGCCCATGACAGGTGGCTTTAGTGGGAGCACTCCTTTAGTGGGAGCACCCACTGGCTAGGTAGCCTGAGTGAGAAGCAAACTGTGCCCAAGTCACTGAGATTCTATGGGAGCCACCCAAGCATATGCCCGCCCATCCAGATTGCTTCAAGCACTGGAGCTGTGGGTCATGGAGTGGCTGGGATTAAAGCATCACCATGATGATTTCCTGATCTCGCAAACTGAGACAACAACCCACCTTGACACAATAGTGATTAATGAGCTACATTGGTCCCAAAGGCGGCTCATTCCTTTAGACAAAGATGCTGGGCAAGCTGAAAGCATTCCGCTACAATGTCTTCCAAGGAATGTGTATAGATGGAACCTGATGATTACCATGTGTCTATTACTTGTGCCATAAACCTCTGCAGGGGCTTTGCAGGAATTGGGACCAGAAAGGCACTCTGTAGCCTGAGCAAGTGCAGAAGAACGTGAGCCAGAGAGGCACTTACATGGAGATGTGAGCAAGACAAACCCTGTGCATCTTGGGTTAGAAATAGTCCCTTTTTGGGTCATTGGCCATCTGGGCCCTAGGAGGCGTCCCCTAAACATAGTAATTTCATTCGGGCAGTAGTTTCTCACTTCTTTTTTCTATTTCATATTCCATGTCTTCCCAGACTTGTAGTTCTCTTCTGTATGGCAAATGGCGTCTTGAGGATGTACTGCTTGGTGGGGCCATCTGCATTGCTAACAGGACGGTCTTCCCAGTGAGAAAGCAGCTTCAGCTATGTACTGTGAGGATTGGGGAGGAAAGCAGAGAAGCTCTGTCTCAGGTGCTCTGACTTCACCACTCAGATCTGAGTTCCTGAGGCCTCTGCACTATTCCAGTGGGAACCTGTTCTATAGGGACCTTGACCCCGTCTGGCCTGTCTCCTACCAACTATAATGAGTAGAACAGCACATAGCACAGGGGTGGGGCTGACAATCATCCTTCCAGGAATCAGATGATGCAGTGTCACCTCTCCAATTTTTTAAACACAGATTTGTATATTTGTAAGGGAGAGAAATCAGGGAGGAGAGGAGAGGAGAGGAGAGGAGAGGAGAGGAGAGGAGAGGAGAGGAGAGGAGAGGAGAGGAGAGGAGAAAGAGAGAGGAGAAAGAGAGGGGAGAAAGAGAGAGGAGAAAGAGAGAGGGAGAAATCTTTCATCTCTTGATTCAGTTGCCAAATGATTGCAATGACTAGGGTTGGAGCTGGACCAGGTTGAAACCAGGAGCCAAGAACTCCATTTGAGTCTTCCCATGAGTGGCAGGGGCCCAAGTACTTGGGTCATCTTCTGATGCCTTTTTAGTAACATTAGCAAGGAGCTGGATTCAAAGTGGAACAACTGGGACTGGAACCAGTGGTTAGATGGGATGTTGACATATCACAGACAGCAGCTTAACTTTGCCATAATGCCAATACTGGCAACTCTCCAATTTTTTACAGGCTACATTTGCTGCTATTTATATATTATAAATATTTATTTTTAATCTGAGAATCACACACACACACACACACACACACACACACACACACACACGAATGCACAGACAGAGCTCCCCTCTGCGTATTCACTCCCCAACTGCTCACAATGGCTGGGACTGGGCAGGAGCCAAAGCCAGGACCTGGGAATTCAATCCAGGTTTCCTGGGTAGGTGGGAAAGACTCAATTACTTGAGCTATCACCACTGCTTCCTAGAACTGCATGCACAGGAAGCTGGAGGCAGGAGGCAGAGAAAAGAACTGCACCAGGGTACTTTGACATGAAACATACCTACCCCCAGACCATGACTTTCAAGGTGACATGTGCTCATCCAACAGGGGTGAGTGTTGAGCACATTGTATCATCACACAGGGCCTCAGCTTTCTCACCTGTCAGAAGTGAACCAGAGTCGACTGGAAAGAAAATCCTAAACTAATTTTCTTTATGCTAATATATTTAATTTCTTCCTTTTCTCAGACGCCCCCAGCCTCCCCAAAGGATTTATTTACTCAATTAAAAAACCACCTCTACAACCATCTGGACTTATTGGCTGTTTAAATCAAATCAGTCACCATGCCCCAGCTCTTCAACACAATCCATGGTAAGTGATGCAGCCTTGGGGTGGGGGGTCTTGATTTTTTTCAGCTGCAAAATGAGGATACTGACTATGCCCATTTCACAGTGCTCTTGTGACAAATGAATTAGCGATGATCTACATGAGGTGTTTACAGCAGTGCCTGGCAGGTACATATGCTCATTATTATCTCAGTTCTTCATTATTTCACTTACAAACTTTTAACCAAGAAAAAAAAAATCTCTTGTAGA